CCGTCCCGCCGGCCCAGCAGCAGCTGCAGAGCGGAGCCCCCAAGCCGGCGGCCTCGGGCAAGCAGGGCAACGTGCTGCCGCTGTGGGGGAACGAGAAGACCATGAACCTGAACCCCATGATCCTCACCAACATCCTCTCGTCGCCCTACTTCAAGGTGCAGCTCTACGAGCTCAAGACTTACCACGAAGTGGTGGACGAGATCTACTTCAAGGTGAGCCTGCGGGCCGCGCCCTGGGCGCCGCGGACCCCCCGGGGCTGTCCCGGCGCCTGTCCCGCGAGCCTCCCGGTGGTTGCGGTTTTTGAAGGGGGAAGGCTTTGATCGCGGCCCGCGGATTCTCTCTCTTGCCTTCCCGCCCCTGGCCTTGCGGTAAGGGATGGGAGCAAATCTCTTTTTTTTTTTTATTGCTTAATGGGGAGAATCCAAGGTGCTGCCTTCTCTCTCGCGCAAAAAAAAAGTGCGTTTGGCGTCGGATTTGGAATTACGGCGTTGTAAGTTAGTTTTGAAGTGGGCAGCGTGAGCCGGGGCAGTGGGGATGAAATGGCCGTCCAAGGACTGCGCTCTCAGTCGGAGGGAGTGGGGGGGACCCGATCTGCACGCCGCTCCCGGAGGGGAGCGCTCCCCGCAGCCGAGGAGTTGCCGAAGGCCGTGTAACTGCACAGGAGGTGTGGCGGTGACCGTAGGTGGTTTCAGCAGGAGTTTGCCAATGGCCGCCTTCCTCAGGTAGAGCTTAGGATCCCCCCCTCCACGCCCAATCAAAAACTAGTTCGTTTTAGTGCTTCGTTCATTCTAGCGCTTCTCTTGGCGTTGGGTAGGATGTGCTGGGGAGATAACTGAACTGTACCAGTGCACCCATGTCTCAGTTCTTGTTTTGTTAGCAGGATTGAGTCAGTTTTGCAGCGAGGCTTCCATCAAGCCAGTCTCCCAGGTAGAGGTACGCATAATTAATGCTCATCAACACAGCCGCATTCTTTGTTCTGGTGATGAGAGCAAAACTTCGATAATTCAGGCTGCTGTCTTCAGTCATCTGTACTTTGGTGGTTATTGAGATATTTTTCTCAGGTGAATTGATTCTGCTCGATAATGTTACTGTGTCAGTTAGTGGGTTTCAATATACTTTGAAATTAAAAAAAAAAAAGGTAGCTTTTTTGTCTCATTTAACCAGGGCAAGTCAAGTTACTTAGGCCACTATAATTGTGAAAAATAACTCTGCGGAAGTACTTTGAGATTTTTGGCATTGTTTGTACTTACTTACAGAGACAGTGCTACTGTTTTTCCTCTTAATGACAGCACTTTTCTGCTTGCGCTCTGTCATTTGGAGCAGACTGCTTAATTCTCCTAATGCTTGGAGTAGCATAGATTGTCGACAAAGCTTCTCTTCGGTTAATTTACCACTTGCTGCGTATGAGAGAGAAATAATTCATTCTGACTATCAGAATGGAAAGCAGCAAAGTTTATTCTTGCAAGTGATGGCAAGAGAGGAAAAATTTATAAAAGAAACATATTTTCAGAAAATTTGAGAGCTTATTGTATTTTACGTGGATCCTTTCAGACGTAGTGAAAAATATTTGATGTGATTTGTCGTCTTAGTATGGGTAGAGCTCAACTGCAGTAGGTCAAATAGTTCATTTGCTTGTCTTGGTGTTTCATTCCATAAATGGCTTAATCTTAAATTGGGGAAGAATTTTGACATACCATTAAAAATCTGCTTATTAATCCAATGTAAATAAACT